ATCTAGAGTGGTGCTGACTGAAAATCTGATGGTAACTCTATTGTATAAATTTGCTAGGGCTGCTATAATAAAGCTTCATCCACTATGGGGCTTAAGAGACAGAAATTTCTTATATTTAAGTTCTGGAGACTAGAAATTCATGATCAAGGTGTTGGCAGGGTTGGTTCTTCCTGAAGGCTGTGAGGGAGAATCTGTTCTATGCCTCTCCTCAAACTTCTGGTGGATTTGCTGGCAATTTTTGGCTTTCTTTGGCTCATAGATACATTACCCGCGTCTCTGCCTTCACCCTCACATGACATTCTCCCTCTGCACATGTCTGTGTTCAAATTTTCCCTTTAACAAGGACACCAGTCATATTGGATTAGAGGCCCACCATATTCCAGTATGACATCATCTTAACTGATTCCATTTGCAGTGATCCTATTTCCAAATAAGGTCACATTCTGAAGTACTGGAGTTTAGAGCTTCAACATACGAATTTGAGGGGATACAATTCAATTCATAATACCTACTACTAGGGAAAATATCAATGCTGATTCTAAGTCTTGTCTGTGCCCCAGAAGTAGATTGCTAATGGGTAAGCCCTTCAGATAAAGTGTGGACAGAAAATATATTCATAATTAGCAAGAATCTTTCTAGCACATTTCTCTAACGAAACAGGATTCTTCCTTCCTTTTTTTTTTTTTTTTTTAAAAAAAAATACATTTTATTGATTTTGTACAGAGAGGAAGGGAGGGAGACAGAGAGTTAGAAACATCGATGAGAGAGAGTCATCGATCAGCTGCCTCTTGCACACCCCCTTCTGGGGATATGCCCGCAACTAAGGTACATGCCCTTGACCGGAATCGAACCTGGAGCCCTTCAGTCCCCAAGCCGATGCTCTATCCACTGAGCCAAACCGGTCTTGGCTCTTCCTTCCTTTGAACTGAAAACATCCCTTTCATCTACTTTCCAGAATCACCTTCTGTTCATGCTCATGTTTCTCCCTTTCTTACTCTAGGCTGCTTCTTCACTTCTATTTTGGGACAATGTAAGGTGACCTAACACTCTCTAAGCCATTCAATGGATGGTGACTAGAAGAAACAATTAGAAGAAAATTCAGGAATTTGGGGAGGGATGTGTCCAAATGGCAATATAATGAAGACTGTCAATATTTAAGTATGACAATCTTTGGGATTTTCAAAACTGACATTTGCTTAGTTCTTATTTCTTTAGGGCCTTATCAATGGTTTCCTGAGGTCTAGTTAAAAAAGAAACCGAAGGATTTAACCCCCAACCAAAAAAACCCACACAAACCACAACCTAAATATCAAAGGGTAGCAAACCTCTTGGTTCTAGGAATAGTGATGACTTTTAGAATACAAATGAAGTGCTAGCTGAAACCGGTTTGGCTTGGTGGATAGAGCGTTGGTCTGCAGACTAAAAGGTCCCAGGTTCAATTCCGGTCAAGGGCATGTACCTTGGTTGCGGGCACATCCCCAGTAAGGGGTGTACAGGAGGCAGCCGGTCGATGGTTCTCTCTCATCGATGTTTCCAGCTATCTATCCCTTTCCCTTCCTCTCTGTGAAAAATCAATAAAATTTATTAAAAAAATAAACAAGTAAACAAATGAAGTGCTACTTGGCAGGGAAGAAGAAAGTTCACGCTGTCGTCTTGGTTAGGCCACATGGCTGTGGCTGCAGGTTTCCAATGATCACAAAGGCATATGTGGGATTAATCCAATGCCAACTAATATGTTAGTTTCTCAAATGGGTTTTCACTGCTGGATATTTGCTACATTCAAAGATTAAATGGTAACTGAAACCAACCTTGAGTTCATGCAGCTGTCCCAGAGTTATATTTCAGTGTTTGTGTGGGCTACATTCATAATACACTTTGTAAGAGCTTAATATAAATTCCTGGAACTCAGATACCTCTGTGTCTATTAAAAGAAGTTAGGACTTTGAGATTTAAGATGAGTTGGTAATTGTTTTATTATTACCAAGCAACACTAGTTGCTTGGTAATAATAAAACAGAATAAAGCAAGTCACTGACACAAAGCAATTATTTCTTCTACAAGACAGATTGTCAGAATGTAAGGAAAAAAGCTTGCATCTAGAAAAGAGCAAGTTACTATATGTAGAATACATTTTTTTATTTGTAAAAGAAAAAAGTCATGTCTAATAATCCAGTAAAATATAAAGTAACAAAAATAGCTGTTTCTGTGTTAACTATATTAACATATAATTATCCTATATAATAAAAGGCTAATATGCAAATTGACCAAACAGTAGAACGACCAGTCACTATGACATGCACTGACCACCAAGGGGCAGATGCTCAATGCAGGAACTTCCCCCTGGTGGTCACTGTGCTCCCACAGGGGGAGCGTGGCTCAGCCAGAAGCCGGGCTCAGATCTGGCGAGCGCAGTGGCGGTGGTGGGAGCCTCTCCTGCCTCTGCAGCAGCACTAAACTAAGGATGTTTGACTGACAGCTGTCTGCAGGCCAGGTTGAGCCCCCCCCCCTCCCAAGTGCATGAATTTTGTGCACTGGGCCTCTAGTAACTAGATATATTGTTAGAACAATTAAGAACATACCCTCCCATATTTTTCACATGATTATAAAGAAGTCGTTTAAATGAAAGTACCAATTTTCATACAAGAAAAGAGTCATCATGCCCCCCACCCCTCCGCTAGGGAAAAGAAAGAAGAGTCATAATTGAGTGACCCAGGAAACATTTGAATGACACTACACATGAGAAGTTGACAGACTTCGCTGTGAAGGCCAGGTTGTAAATATTTTAGGCTTTGCAGGCTGTGCCTTTGTAGGGGGAAGGCAGCCAGAGATAGTATGTGAATGAACAGGCTTGGCTGTGTCCCAATAAAGCTTTATTTACAAACACAGGCAGCAGGCCATAGTTTACTGACCCCTGCTGCATATCATTAGGGAAACCATTATGATCACACACCAGTGAATATAATATTATAGAATTTGGTGTTTTGTAACCTTTCAAATAGTTTCACATAAAGTTTTCCATGGGGTAATTCCATTTTCAACTCTTTCTACCACCGAGGGGAGAGTTCTAATGTGTGCTGTATGAGAGCTGTGAGTTCCCTGAAGACGTGTTTCATATCTTTTTAAAAACAAACAAACATATTTTATAGATTTTTTACAGAGAGGAAGAGAGAGGGATACAGAGTTAGAAACATTGATGAGAGAGAATCATTGATCAGCTGCCTCTTGCCCACCCCCTGCTGGGGATATGCCCGCAACCAAGGTACATGCTCCTGACTGGAATCGAATCTGGGACGTTTCAGTCCCCAGGCTGATGCTCTATCCACTGAGCCAAACTGGTTTCGGCGTGTTTCATATCTTATTTTCCAGTGACCGGCAGTGTGTATTGAATCAACTCATTTCCTGTGAATTCAATGTATACATTGTACTGCCCTGCCTACTTCACATTCCCTGCCTCAGTGATGCATTTTAAACTTCCAAGCAGCTATTCCTGTGACCCTTGTACACATTTGGAGCTTCCATACTTACACTGAGTATTTATACAGACTCCGAAAGATATTTCAGTTGCCCTAAAGAATTAGGGTGGAGTCAAGGGCTTTCCCTGATCGTATCTAGTCTGCCAATGTGGATGAACCTAGTTGAGCATCCACCACCAGACACTTAAAAAGAAAGCAGGGACTATTCATGTGGGCACAATGAACAAAGAAGGAAAAGACAGAAGGCAGTCTCCTATCCCACTATTCCTCTGACTTGGAAGCAAGGTAGAATGCTTTCTTTCTTGGTCTGGTCATATCCTTGAGATGTAGGCTGAACAGGATGAGATGTTAGTGATTGTTTTTGGATGAAGTTGTGACTGCTGCTAATCCCCACTTCGAGTCACTTATTCTTAGGCAGGAAGTATTTGAACTCACTAAATGGGATCTCAAAAGCTTTGTCTAAAAGAGAAGGTACCGTATTTTTCCGTGTGTAAGATGCTATTTCCCCCCTAAAATTGTTAAACTGGAAATCAAGGAGCGTCTTATACACAGAAGTCATCTGAGGAGGGAGCGGCATGGGTGTTAGTTATAGTAAGGCTTCCTCCAATCACAAGCCTTATTGTTACTGACATCAGCTTATGCCCTAAGTCTGCAGATGCAACAGGGACCTGAGCGTTCTGAGCCCATAAAGATGTCAAAAAATAAAATGATAAATACCCTTAAGCTATTGTCTTATTCTGAAAAATTCAAACTGAATGTAATCAGCTCTGCAAAAGAGCATGGAAATAGAGCTGCAGAGAGATAAGTGGGACCTCCTCCCACTGAGTGTAGGATCAGACAGTGGAGAAAACAGGAAGAACAACTCCTTAAGATGAAAAATAAAATAAAATAAAATAAAAAAGGCCTTAAGAGGAAAACCAGCAAAATGTTTAAAATATAAATTTCTTAATTTTGTGTTGGAAAAGTGGGGGGCATCTTATACATGGGGGCATCTTATAGATGAAAAAAATACGATACATACTGCAGCAATTTCCTAGTTACATAACTAAACCTTCCTATTTAAAAAAAATTTTTTTTTTGCCTTTGTGAAAGATTGAAAAACATGGCCTTGCTATCTTGCAGCTTCTTCCATCAAGAGGTAGAATTTTAGGGCTATGAATTTCCCTCTACTGTTCATGCACTATTTTCACTATGGTTAATTTATAAAGGATTGTGATTAAATTTTGATTTTTTTCTTCTACCCCCAAATTATTTAGAAGAATATTTAAGAGTCTTTTAAATAGTTTTCTTTCTTTCTGTTGTTAATTTCTAGCTTTTTAGAATTTGGGTCAGGCATTCTGGAATATAAAATTTCTAAATTTGGGGATTCAAGGTTTTCTTGATCTCATAGTACCTTAAACACTTTTGTAAATATTTCTTGGCAGTAGAAAATGAATGTTGAATTAAAAATTTATGTGTGTGTATGTATGCATATCTATATATATAAAGCCATAGCCACCATCGACTGTTCAAGCATCTGACTGGTAGCTATGACATGCACTGACCACCAGGGGGCAGATGCTCAACATAAGAGCTGCTGAGCTGTGGTGACTTGGCAGCTGCAGCTGGAAGGGAGCCAGATTCTGGGGTGTATCACCTGAGAACCATCCTCTAGCAATCCAGGACCTCTAGCGGATGTCAGAGAGCCGTTTTCGGCATGATCTCCATAGGCCAGGCCGAGGGACCCCTAGTATATACATGTAATGTATCTGTATTATACATATAATCATGTATGTGTGTACATATATATCCAATTATGTTTACTAACCGTAATATTACAATCTTTTATATCCTTTTGTTGTTGTTATTAATCCTCACCTGAGGATTTTTTTTTCATTAATTTTTAGAGAGAGTAGAAGGAAGGGAAGGAGGGGACAGAGAGAGAAGGAGAGAAGCACTGATGTGAGAGAGACACATTGATTGCTTGCCTCCTGCATATTCCCCAATCAGGGCCCAGGATTGAATCTGCAACCCAGGTACATTTCCTTGAACCAGGAATCAAACCCGTGACCCTTCTGTGCATGGGCTGATGCTTCAACCACTGAGCCACACCATCCAGGGCTATATCCACTTTTATTTTATTAAAAAAAATTAATATCCATTTTTAAGTAAACAGTTTTCCAAATTCTGAAGAGGTGGCTTGCCAAAAAATTGTTTTTGTATTTATAATAATCTCTGTATTTTGACAAAATGTTGTCAGTACTTAGAGATTCATGACTGATATATTTTGGTGGCCTGTATTTGTATAAAAAATACTTTAACTGACACATATTTAAAAAATTAAAAAAACATTTTTATTGATTTCAGAGAGGAAGGGAAAGGGAGAGAGAGATAGAAACATCAATGATGAGACGGAATCATTGACTGGCTGCCTCCTGCATGCCCCCTACTGGGGATTGAGCCTGCAACCCAGGCATTTGCTCTTGACCAGAATCGAACCCAGGACCCTTCAGTCCACAGGCCGATGCTCTATCCACGGAGCCAAACCCATTAGGGCTAAAATTCTTATATATAATAAATGAATGAAAGAAGTAAAAACTGCAATTACTATTCACAATAAAAATGATACCTATTCAGATGAACATTGATCTTGGTTTCACTTGAAATTTATGACCACAAACCTTAATTAGGCCTCAAGAGCTGCCTCATGGTCTTACTATATTTTTGGAGTAATTCCCTCTCCCTCTCTGAGAGAGCTATTTTAAACCGTCTCAAAGCTCCAAAACGTCTTCCTCACATCTCACTCTCAGCTGTCAACCTTGCTTCTCATTTCACTGCAAAATGATTCTCAGTCAGAAGAGCTCGCCCTTCCCCTTCCCCTGGCAAGTGGACCAAGCTGCTGACCTCTGCATCCACATTCCTTTTCCCCCTCCTGTCACACCCATCACACCCGTCAGCTGCCCTTGCTTCTACAGAGGCCAGCCCTGCCATCTGTGTAAATCAGGTCCCTGCAGCTTGCGGCTGCTCTAAATAATAATCATGATGAGGTGGCTTTAAATATGGCCAGACATTTTGTGACCCTCTTCCCATAGAGAGAGAGGTCCTTCCCTTGAATCTGTATAGGTTTGTGTAACTGCTTTGGCAAGTGGAGCACAGTAGGAGTGATGCTATGTGCCTTCCAAGGCTAGGCATAAAAGGCCATGCAGTTTCTGTTCCTTCTACTGGATAACTTCCTCTTGGAACCTGAGTCTCCATGTAAGAAGTCAACAAGCTGAGATTACCATTCTGGAGAGGCCTCATGTAGGCATTCTGGTGGACAGTCCCAGCTGAGCCAGTCTTCCAGCCATCCCTGACAAAAGGTGCTGGATATGGGAGTGGAGCAGCCATCTTGGGAGTGGGTCCTCCAGCCCCAGCTGGCCCAATTTCAAGAATCCTTCTATATAATAAAAGGGTAATATGCAAATTGACAGAATCGCAGAATGACTTGCTATGACACTCACTCACCACCAGGGGGCAGTCGGTCAATGCAGGAGCTGCCCCCTGGTGGTCAGTGCACTCCCATGGGGGGAGTGCTGCGCAGCCAGAAGCTGAACTGGGGGTCCTCCACAGATCTCTGGTGCATGTGCCAGGTGGCTACTGCTTCAGATCCTGGAGGAGGACCCTCTCCCATGTACCATGTGTCACCAAAGTAGTAGAGTTGCCTTATTTTTATTTTTTTAAAAAGAGCCAGGTTATAAAGTGCTCAAGTGACAATGCAGGAAAACATAATTCTAAATACACTTACAGGCTGTCCAAATCCTTCAAAAATAGTCTATTTTAACACTCATTAGAAAATGACTAATAAGATTAGTGGTCAAGATGTTGGGATAGGTAGACCTGGCCCTCAGAACCTCCTGCAACCACATCAAAATTACAACTAAATTACAAAACAACCATCATGCAGAACCGCCTGAAATCTAGCTAAACAGAAGTCCTACAAACTAAGGATATAAACAAGAAGCCAAATGGAGACAGGTAGGAGGGGTAGAGTGGAGGAACAGTCAGGTTCCACACCCACATGTAGCAGATAAAAACTGGGAGGAATATCTTGGCTGCAGAGATCACCCCCAAGGAGCAAGGGGTCCCAGCCCCATATCAGAACCTCCAGCCCAGTGATCCAGTGGTGGGAAGAGAAGTCCCCATTAGTTCTGGCTGTAACAACCAAAGGACATTGAGTGCCCAGCATTCTTCTTAAAGGGTCCACACAAATACTTACTTGGACTTACTTGCTCTGATCAGGTTTAAATATTGCAGCAATGCAGTAGAACTCAAAAGGCACCTGGGTTACGTAGGGAGGAACTGAATTGTCCCACACATCAGGGCAAGAGCTGGAGGGGCAGCTTTCTCCCAGACAGAAGTGCTGGCAGAGGCCATTGTTCCTTTGATGAACCTGTCCCTCCTGCCTCCCCACCCCCCAGAAAACCAGAGGCGGGCAGCATAGCTGAGACTCCAACCTAGCTCATACTGTTTGTCCCACCCTGGTAATTCCTTGAGACTCTACCTCACCCAGCTTGCAAGCCTACCCAAGCTGTGGACTTCCCTAAAATCTTTCAAACAAGTAGCATCTGGTATCTGTGTGTCCCAAACCTATTGCTAAATGGCCCCAGGCCTGACACTAGTACAGCCAGCCTTTGTTTGCAGGTTGGTCTCTCCAGGGCACCTCCAAGTCCACCACAAGTAGCAGTCATATGCAGATAGCTTTGTAGCCCATGCTGGGTGGACTAGGGCAGAACACAGGTGGCAGCTGACTTTGACCTGCACCTTCTGGGAGGCTCCAGAGCCAGTGCAACTGGTGGACAGATTCAGACCATGTCAAAGCACCACCCAACTTCTCCCACAAGGGGCACACTCAAGGGGCAGACTCAGCAGGCACCAAAACCCCAATGAAGCAAATCCTACTCCACCGGTTGGCACATGCATAGCATTCCTCCACTGTACTTGCAGCCAGTTATCAATTGGGATGGGGGTCAATCCCTCCCCAGTGACATGCCAACAATAATAAAAGGTCAACTACAACACAACAGGACACTACACACAGCCCACACAGGGGGTACACATGACATGCCCAGCTCTGTTGACTGGGGAGGCTGAGCCACTGGGCCCTATAGGACATCTACACAAGGCCACTCTAACAATTCTGGGAGACATAGCAACTCTACCTAATACATGGAAACAAACACAGGGAAGCAACCAAAACGAGCCAGCGACCAGACTGCTGAACTATCGGTTGCTATGATGCCCACTGTGGTCACTAACTGGCCCGATGGAGGGGGGGCGGGCAGCCAGCCAACCTCCAGCGGCCCCTTCTGCCAGCCAGCCCCGCCCCCATCGGCCTCTCCCACCCTGATTAAGGGCAGGGAGGCTGGCCAAACGGCTCCCCCACAGCCCTTCTCCTCCTCCCCCCTCCCCCCTTGCCCCGCCCCTATTGGCCCGCCCCACCCCCTGGGCAATCAGAACTCCAGTATCTATAAACCTGGAGTTGGAGAAATCAATTTGGCACTCTCCAGTGAGGTCTGAGTTCCTGGTTCTAGTTATTTCTGAATAACCCCTGCCTTTCCTTCCACAATATGAAGCTTTCCCTATAAACCCCTTTGTCTTGGTCTGGTTGCCTCAAATCCAGACACTGAGACAAGGACTTGGTTGCAAGTGCTGACCCCAGAGAACACAAGTGGGCCAGGGAAAGGAGAAAGCCAATAAAGTGTAATAATGAGTAGGTTCCTGCAGTGGGCAACTGGGGCTCAGTACTGACGGGGCCTCTGGGACAGTGTAGATCACATCTCAGAATCATTCCACCAGAGAACCGGGAGGTTTTATCACGGACTTTCATCCCCATCGACAGAGCTTTGTCCCTAGTGGTATCCATCCCCCCGCACTCATGGGTCATGCCTACAACACACCCAGGTAACCTACCTTGGAGATGGAGAGAGCACCAGTGGGGAGAAGCAGCGAGATTCAGGCTTTTGAGCCGTGAGGCTGCCCGAGTTCTGAGAACTGTCTACAGCTGCAGTAGAACGCAGGTGGGCAGAGGCAATTAAGAGAAAAGTATGAGCAGTGTTTGCCAAAGTTCCTCTTGGCTTAACCTAGTTCATGTTGCATCTCACCTTGGTTCTTCCCACAGAGGCAGCCATGCCCACGTTGGGCCAGCCTAGTGGACAAGGCATTGCCACCAGGAGCACTTTTCTTGGCAATGTGCGACACCAGTAGCTGTTAAGGGATGGTTGGGGACAAAAGGACTGTGTCAAAATGTATGGGTTGAGTGCAGGGCAAGGGATCAGACATGGCTCATTATGGTTGTTCGTCCATGTAGTGATGTCATCTATTGTCTGGTGAAGAGCTGTGAACAGCTGAAACTGGTTTGGCTCAGTGGATGGAGCGTCAGTCTGCGGACTGAAAGGTCCCAGGTTCGATTCTGGTCAAGGGCATGTACATTGGTTGCGGGCACATCCCTGGCAGGGGGTGTGCAGGAGGCAGCTGGTCGATGTTTCTCTCTCATCGACGTTTCTAGCTCTCTATCCCTCTTCCTTCCTCTCTGTGGAAAATCAATAAAATCTATTTTTTAAAAAGAAAAAAAAAGAGCTGTGAATATACACGTTTAGCCAACCACCTGGGGAAATAGTAGGGTACTCATTAGCTATTCTTCCCCACTATAAAAACAACTGACTTTTGGTGCCATATGATCTCAGAGCATACTATCTAAACAAAAATTTAAAGACACAGTTCTTTTAAATAGCACATGAATAGAATTTCATGGTGAATCCCAAACTGAGATGAACCACAATTATCTACTGACCTCCCAAGCCAGTGCTCGGCAAACTCATTAGCCAACAGAGCCAAATATCAACAGTACGACGATTGAATTTTCTTTGGAGAGCCACATTGTTTAAACTTACACTTCTAAAGGCGCTTCTTCAACAACATAGAGTCGCCCAGGCCGTGGTAATTTGTGGGAGAGCCACACTCAAGGGGCCAAAGAGCCGCATGTGGCTCGCGAGCCACGGTCCTAAGCTATTGGAAAGCTGGTATTCTTTTTACCCACGTGAAAACAAGCCAGTTGCTTCCCTGTGAAATGCATTCAGTTGCAGGGAACAGAAACCTGACTTTCTCATATTAAATGAAGCTTCTTGTCTTCACATGAGAGAGCTCGGAGGAGGTAGCCGCCGGGGAGAGTTCAGTGTTTGACCATGGGGTCAGGGACTCAGACATGGAGTCATTTTCATCCAACGGATGAATTATAAATGTGCCCACTCAGTCTAACCTTTCTGCTAAAGGGAAGTTCTATGTAAAGGAAATGTCAGAGATTGCAGAAGTAAAAAAGAAAAAAAAAGTAATGTTAAAAATAATGAGCCCAAGGGTCCTCCATAAAAATACCCCCAAACAAAGACTAAAACACAATTAAGGAGCATGTCCCTTAGGATCTGGCAGCGTTCTGTGTGAAAAGTGTTTTGCCTACCGGCTGGCATGGCCAACCATTTGAGCATCAATCTATGAGCCAGCGGGTCGAGGTTCGATTTCCGGTCAGGGCACATCCCCGGGTTGCGGGCTCCATCCCCAGTGTGAGGCGTGCAAGAAGCAGCTGATTGCTGATGTTTCTCTATCATAGATGTTTCTGTCTCTCTCTTCCTCTCTGAAACCAATAAAAATATATTTAACAGAAAAGTGTTTTGGCCTCATACCTGGCCCTGGCCTGTGTCATACTTAAAACATATATTTTATTGATTTTTGACAGAGAGGAAAAGAGAGGGATAGAGAGTTAGAAACATCGATGAGAGAGAATCATCGATCAGCTGCCTCTTGCACACCCCCTACTGGGGATGTGCCCGCAACCAAGGTACATGCCCTTGACCAGAATCGAACCTGGGACCTTTCAGTCCGCAGGCCGACGCTCTATCTATTGAGCCAAACCGGTTTCAGCCTGTGTCATACTTAAAATCGACATTTCCTCTTTGTTTTATTTTGTCTGTTATCTCCTGTACTCTAAAGGTCAAAGTCACGGCTACCAATAGAGGCGGTAAAGCAGAGAGAGCGAGGCCCTGTGGCCCTGTAACTACCTTAGTCAGTTGATCTGCGACTATTCTTGACCTCCAAAAAGGGTGATGTCTTAGAGTTCACCATGATATTATAATTATCATCGTTTGGTGACCAATTATTGAGTGCTGATTATGAAACAACTTTAATGGGCCCTAAATGACCAAGCTGGGATGCCCGTGCCCCTGCTGAAAAGCTGGGTGCCATGTCGCCTCTCTCCTATTTTGATTGACCCCTCCTCATCATCTGGCCTCCAGGTAGTAAAGCTAAAGATAGAAACTTTCCCTACTTTTCAGACTTCATGGTGCCCCCTCAGAATACGTGAGAAAATGCAGCCAGCATCTCCTGGAAGATTAGGAGGGCAGTAAGATTCCGTAGCCACCTCCGGCTGACATCTGAGCCCTGCTTTCAGCACGGTCAAGCCTTTCGGAGGCAGCCAGCGTATGGCTTGTATCAAACTCTATATTTAGGAAGAACAACTGTGAGCTATGACAGGAATTCTCTTTAACACTTAGCCTTAAACCGAGTTCCCCTCCAGCCCGGAGCCGGGAGCAGCTCTCAATCCCGGGTGAGGCACCGAGCACTTGAGCTATTTCAGCCACATGCAAAGCGTCGGAATTGAGATCGCAGCTCAGAGGACACCAGGCATCCCTTTCGCCTTCTAAGGAGCCTTGTATTCTTGCACCGGGCTGCCTGGGACTCTCCTCAGGCAGGCGACAGACACGTAAAGCAGGTAAGCAGAAGGACGAAGCTTGGGCAACCTTGCTTTCTGACGGAAATTGCTTTGCTATCTGACTTGGAATGACTACTTTACTTATAACTTTGTAGGCTTGGAACCAGTGGGTGTGTAGCTTCTTTGTAAATTCACTGGTCAAGGGTGATAGTGCTGCTTCTGTTTTATAAAGCGTGTGTGTGTGTGTGTGTGTGTGTGTGTGTGTGTGTAAGAGAGAGAGAGAGAGAGGTTGATATAATATCGAACTAAAAGTAGTTTGTATTGATAGTGACGTTAAGAAACTTTCCAGGGTCCAAGCTTGATGCCTGTGACCCTGCATATTATGTCATTCTGATTCTTATGGCCGGGGCTACAGTCGGTCAGCTGCAGGCTGATTTGGGCTGTAAGCCTAGAAATGATCAGAATTCGGGGCAGAGGAAAGCTAGCTCCTTGGTTTACCTAAATGCAAATGGTTGCCAGTTGTTACACAGTTCAAGTTGAAAATGCTTTTCTCATCTCCCTAAGCGCCAGGCTTGGCCTCAATGACGGAACTGTATCAACGTATAGATGGAGAAATACTCCGGACCCACCTTTTGAAAGTCCCACGTTAGTCAGTGTTCTCTGTACTCGGCAGGGGAGAGGTCAACACTCCCGTGCCTTTGTGGGCACCGGGTTCTGAAATGTGGGAACACAGAGTGCCTCTTCCCTCTCAGGATATTTCAGGCCAAGGGAATAAGGAGCTAGTTCAGACAGCTGACCATCTTCCTACCCCCATCCCCGAATTATTTTTAGCTGCGAGACAGAAGACAATTCCCTCTGGGACTTCGCTTTAGCCATCTAATTGACCAGTTAAAAGAACAAACAAAATCCCTGCTTTGCAAATATTGATTTACTTGCCTCGGAATCCACTCTTATTAAATTAGTGATATGAATGTGGACAACATTTTAGGAAGCGAGAGCCTTGCTTAGAAGTCAGATATCAGATGCCGCCCAATGAAAATCCAGCAGGGGGGCTGTGCATGACTCGGTACGCAGACCATTAAAGGTTCCTCAATGCTTTGCAGAACTGCCAGGAAAACTCCACCGTGCTAAACTGGCAAGCGTTCCCATGATAGTACATAGGCTTTGCAAGAGACAATACACGCCTTGTCAAACTTTCCGTGTTTCCAAGTTGTAGCCAGAACCGGGAGATACGATATCAAGAGTGCTATAAAGAGTACCTCTTTGTAGGAAAAGCAGTGGCCCTCGTGTGAGTGGAGTTGGGCATCTAAGGGAGAGCTTTCGTGTTTTTTGTTTTTTGGTCCCGGACAAGGCACACAGCTAAAGAAGGAAGGTGCATTCTCCACTCTGCATCCCTGACGGAGGTGAGTGCAGGGCCAGGGAAGCAGCCGGGGAACGCTGTCTATTTTTATTCATCGGTGTGCTTTGCCCTGATTTCTCCGCGAATAATGAGGACAGCAAGAACGGCTGCAGAAGCGATTTACACAATTGTGATCTAGCCTGTTTGTGAGGAGCGAGAGCGGGGATCTGACCAACTTTTCAGAGCCGTCTCTATCGCAGGCATATATGTTAAGAAGAAATGTGCATGCAGATGAGATGATAGGCGCTAAGGTGCAAGGGATAGCCATCTGTTAAACGTAGAGGTCCACAAAATCCAAATAAATACAGCTCAGTGAAAATAAAAACAAAACCAGCTTAACTTTTAAAAAACCCAATGCAGTATGAAATAGCATTCATTACCTGATTTTTTTTTTTTTTTACATTTCAACCTGTTAGTATAATCACATAAAGAAATTCCCAATTGTCACAGTTCAAATCAAGACATTTTTTAAAAGTTCCCGTGATATCGGTTAACATTTAGTTGTATATGCAGAGTATTACTATCTGCTGAGATACTAAAGTCCTGTGCAAATTATTGCTTTGCATGACTTCTAATGGCTTTTTGAAGAATAGAAACATTGAGAATGAAACTACCACACTTTTCCTTTTGAAATTGAGCTGTGTGTCCTAAATCCAAAAAGTAAAAACCCTTCATTGAGTCTTTGATATTGCAGGAAAGCAGCCTGCAACCGATCTGAAGCATATAATAGAGCCAAATGCATTCCTGATTGTTCCGTTAGTTGCTGCTTTAGAATTTTTCAAGCAAATTGAAAACAATTCTACCTAGACTCTCATGCCTGCAGGCTATTTTTCTAAATTACTAAGACATTCAGGTGAAACTTAAAAAAAAAAATCTCCTTGTTTTCATGTGTGTGCCTCCAAAGACTATATAGTTGGATATACAAATTATAGATTGAAAAATTATGTGATTATATCATTTCCTATAATAAAGACTAAGACTTTGAAGATCGTAAGTGTTCCTAGAATTCTCGGATCTTTTATCTCTAAAGCAGGGGTGGGGAATGTCTGGCCCACAGGCCATATAAGGCTGGCAAAACCATTTGGTCTGGCCCTGACAAGGCAACCGCAGGTGGGACTCGAAATTCAATAAATCCAGGAGTTCTTTTCATAGCAACATGCATTTATATCAAATGAATTACATTAGGCTAAGGATGTTATACATATCCAAAATGGCCCGTGGCAGGAAGGATCCTCACCCCTGCTCTCAAGCATTGAGGGGCGTTAAGACATCCATTCTGACACTGTGCCTACAGCTGTAGATTAGTATACGGTAGTCCTAAAATGTCACGAGCTATAGGCAACGACAATAAAATAATAAATGTTGGAAGTCAGATATTAGATGCTGACTTTATAGTTCCCAAGGCATTTTCAGGAACACCGTGTCATTTTGTTTGTTACCACAACCTGTGAAGCAGGTACAATGGAAGGAAGTGGCAATGGACCCAGAGATTTTTGAGGGACGTAGCCCAGCTTACCACAGGACATGTGGCCAATGGCACCACTGCTCTCTGGGTGCGTTTCCTCGCCAGTTAGCACACACACTTACACCAGTCAACAGAGGGAAGGCAGTCAACCCATTATATAATTTCCGTTCTAAAAGCAGCATGCTTTGAATGCACTGAGTTCTTTGCTTTTTCACTCGGTTCTGTTGACATTGAATAGACCAAGTGACAACAACACCGGGACAGGGCTGGGCTGTTCCCTGTCCCCTCTACCCCCCCACCCCCCCCAACCATAGTGACCACTGGACCATAGTCAGGTCTCAGGAGCTGAAAGAAAACAAAAATCCTTTGGGAAGGAAGCACTACTACGTCTTGGGGATCTGACACGGTCATGTAAGTTCTATTTGCTTTCTGGGCTGTTGTTAGAAGAGAAGAGGTGACGCCGAAACCGGTTTGGATAGAGCGTCGGCCTGCGGGCTGAAGGGTCTTGGGTTCGATTCCGGTCAAGGGCATGTACCTTGGTTGCGGGCACATCCCCAGTAGGGGGTGTGCAGGAGGCAGCTGATTGATGATTCTCTCTCATCCGTGTTTCTAGCTCTCTATCCCTCTCCCTTCCTCTCTGTCAAAAATCAATAAAATATGTTAAAAAAAATAACACACAGGGGGGATGCGGCCTACTTTCTGGGCTCACTGGGCCGAACAGACACGTGCAGAGAGAGCATCGCAGTAGTAAGAATGAAGCACAGGCCATTTCTTTTTGGATGCTCCACAGAGAGGAGCCGCTCTCATTTGACTGACGGCATAGCCCGGGCAACCACTCATTCAGATCAAAAGTTCAGTTTCAAGCAGAAAGCTCCCGGGTCCCCAAACAAAGGTGTTTTATTCCCACAGCCTCTTTGCTTTGCTGCTTTGGGCGGGTGGGGGAGGGGGAGGGGCGGGCAGGAGGGCAGGGAAGGAGATGATAGCGCCTTTCAAGTTTCGATAGCCTATCATTAGCATCAGGGGCGAGGCTCTCAGGGTTTCTGCTCCTGAATGATTTATCCGGGGCTCTCCGGTTCCCTGAGGCTGTAGGAGGGAGAGTCACTGAGTAACTTGGGAACCCGAGCCTGAAAGAATATATGGCCAGGGAAAGGGGTGACTGCCCAGCTGAATAATGAGTTACGTTCTAATTTATCAAGCCCGAGGATCTGAATGCTGCCACCTCTAACAGTTTCATGCTTGTTTTTTTAGGGATAAGACTGCGTGAATATGTCGAAACAGCCAGTTTCCAATGTCAGAGCCATCCAGGTAAGTAGGCAGATTTGTGTGTTAGCAGCAGTTCTGTGACTTCTAGCCTGTGTGCTTAATAAGCCAGACTTTTTGCAGTTGCTTGAACCTGAGGATTGCTTTCAAGAAGAAAAGAAAGACTCATTGAAGGTACACTTGAGAAAGGCTGTAAGGTACAATGAAAGAGGAAGAAGCTATTTTGTTTAGTTGTGCTGAATGATAAGACAAAGTTTATGAGTGAGAATGAACTGTTCTACAAAAAATGTAATATATATATATAATGATATCACATAATTGTCCTCATCCCCCCATTCCCATCCCAAACCCCTCCCCACATACGCCTCCACCCCCCTGTTGTCCATGGCCACTGGCTAGGCTCATATGCATGCACACAAGTCCTTTGGTTGATCTCTTCCCCTTACCCCAACCCTCCCCTACTTTCCCTCTGAGGTTTGAAAGTCTGATCGCTGCTTCTCTGTCTCTGGGTCTGTTTTTGTTCATCAGTTTATGTTGTTCATTATTTCCTCTAGATGTGTGAATGTAGTGTGTATATTTTTTGACGTGTCAGTTTTTGACAGGCTCATTGATAGAAATTAAGAAATCCAATTTCCATTTTAATATCCAATTGAGTTTTTTGAGCCATCTGTTAGAAATACATCTTCCTGTAAATAATAAACCTTTCTTGTCAAGTGTTCTTCCCAAGGCTCGGGTGTTTATCTTTTAAAGTACATATGCTAGAATGTCTCAACAAGCCCTCTCAGCAAATGAATTCTTTGGTTGTTTCAACTGACGTGTCACGCTCACAAAAAGGGGAGAGGGAAGCAGGCATGTGGGAACACAGATACAATTATGGAGATAACGTTCAATATTTGTTTTTGCCAACTTGTTACTTCTTTTAAGGGCTCTGTGTTCAACTCTCAGATGGCTACCACATTAGGATGTTGGCCACACGCTTTATTGTAAAATCATATCTTTCCATCAGCATGGAAACATCTGTGCTTTCAGACTTTTTCCCTGGACTTTTAAAAAATTACATCTTTTTTCATAAGTATATTTTGATTTCAGAGAGGAAGGGAGAGAGATATAAACATCAATGATGAGAGAGAATCATTGATCGGCTGCCTCCTGCGTGGCCCCTACTGGGGATCGAGCCCGCAACCTGGGCATGGGCCCTTGACTAGAATCAAACCTGGGACCTTTCAGTCCACAGGCCGACGTTCTAGCCACTAAGCCAACCCAGCAAGAGCTTTTCTGAATACTGCAGAACATGTGGCACTTCCTGAATATTTTGGGTCTGACGCACCATCCCAGCATAAGCATACTCATAAGCGAGTGGTGGTATTTTGGAGGGGTGTGCGAGTGGCCAGGTTGTGGGGTAGGAAATCCTGGTGCACACTGGGAGTAGAGAAGGGACAAATCTTTACCTGTGGTGATCAATGCACAGCCTTACATGGATGGACTTCTTAAGTGGCAACATCTACAACAACCTCTGGAAACGTGTCCTAGAACAAACCACCAAGGAAGAGCCTATTGGCCAGGAAGGAGCCAACTTCACATGGCCACACTTGGCCATCTGGTGTCTGCCTAATGAGTCTGGGGTATATAGCCTGACATTGGCAGTGCAACTTATTTTACGTCCCAGATCTGTGGCCTCCTTGGGCCTTTGAGCCTTCGAGCCTATTTGTGTGGATTGAATTTACCAGTGTGCATGGCTGTGAATGGCATGGGCTCTGAAGCCAGATTACTGGGGTTTGAATCCTCAGTCCATTTCATATGGGTGTGGGATCATGGGAAAACAAGTTTACCTCGGTGCCTCTATTTCCTCATCTGTAAAATGGGGGTAATAACGGTACTCACCTCCGAGGGCTATTCATCCAAGATGCTCAAAACAGCAACATAAGCCCTCATTCAGTGTCAACTGTTATTACAATGATTATTATTTAGGAACGCTCTATGTGAAAGTGGTGAGAGTCATGCAATTTGATTGCTGCACTTGAAGCTCCCAAGGCACTAAACACAAATTTCCTTTTTATTTTGCAGGACACAAAAACATAGTCCTCTCAGGCTGCCTTTGCTTCTCTCCCTTTTAAAGCTGAAAGCGTGTTGATTTTTCTTCTTTAGTGCTTCCCTCAAATCGACACTGAAAATTCACCAGTGTTTTATCTAATAATTTTGACCTTGATATATTTTTAGCTTTGTAACATTTACAAAGTTGCTATTGACTGCTCTCAATAGCTGTTATTATACCGCATTTAAAAAAAATCCATCCACTCTACCCAGAGTGGTTCCTTACGGATGTGGTATTGCCTCTCTGGATATATTTGATGCCACACACACAAAAAAACCCCTAATTTAATGCACCTTCCAATGAACTATTATTTCTTGTGGTTAAAGAGGATCTGCAATATCTGATATTTTCCTATTATTTCTGCATTAACCTAAAGTAGGGTCCATTAAATAAAATGGGAAAATGGTTACGCTAGACAAATGGCTTATAGTAGGGACATTATCTAGGGTCTAGTGTTGTCTGGGACAAAGAGAAGCGCCAGTGGATGAGGGAGTGTCCTGGTTGTATAAATACCATTTAAAGATCTTAAATGTTCTATTCAACACTCTCCTTTTTATTAAGAGCTTATCTCAAAGTCAGGACAACTGTCATTTCCTGGGTGCATGCTTTGTGCCAGGCACCATACTAGGTGAAGGCTATGCAAAGATGAATTGATAGCTGATCGCTGTGTTCAAGGAGCTTACAGTTTCCACAAGTTACTAGCTGTGTGCTTCTGGGAAAGTTGTTTCTTCTCTTTGTGCCTCGGCTTCATCATTCATCAAGTGGGAGGAAAATACCAATACTGATCTCATAGGTTTGCTGCGAGTGTGAAATGAATTAATACACATAGATGCTTAGGCAGTGCCTGGTCCCTTGTAACTGATCAATAACTATTACCCATTGTTATGAGTCATCATCTAGTTCAATAGTTCCAAACGTGTGTTTCTTGGAATTCTAGTTTTATGGGATGTTGTTACTTAGAGGGTTCCATGATAAAGTGTTTGGGAAACATTATGTTGAGCAGAGTTGAATGGGATCTTGACTGTGGAATTTTTCAGAGTGCACTACTTGCTAATGGTTTCGTAGGTTCCCAAGAAGATGGTAACATGTATAATGTTTTTTAAATATATGGCACCATTTTCATGAGTACTTTCAGATTAGTGTTTAGCAGGGCAAACTTCTGGAAATGATGACTTGGATCTTTCTTTTGTCTGGATTGAACGAATCTTAGCCACTGCCAACCATACTTTTAACAGTCAGGCATTTAGGTAGCTGAATGACTTACTGCAACTATGTGCATCAGACAACATGGAGCCCAACGGTTACAAATCTCTGCCTGGCCACTCCCTCACTCTGTGAACTTAGTTTACCCTTTGGTAAAATGGAACAATCACTATTTAATAAAATTATTGTAATAGATAAACAAAATAATGTATGGTTTATGGCACACAAATTCCTTAAGAGATGGGTTTTGTAACTATCCAAGCAATGCAAGAATGGCCTTGCTTTCTCTTCAACTGGTTCCATCTGCCCCATGTTCTAGAATAAGAGGGAGGCCAGAACTAGACCCACACTGAGAGGAGATGTTCAGGTGTCTTTCACCTACATACTGAAGAAGAGGTGGCCTTGGAATTGTAAGAGGATTCTATGGAAGCCTACATTTCTCCTCAGTTGTATTCATGAAATGTCATTTCTGCCAAGGATATAAATATATCCCTAAGAACTCAGTTGATCTTTTCATAGCATAGA